TAAGCAAGTCAATGGATTTTCAGAGGCAATCAAGGCGCATGCAAGGACTGGTATGTTGTGGCCAGCTTGGGAAACTCACACGTAGAATACCTCAGAGTTTGGCGCGTCCTTGCTGGCAGACAGGTTCCAAATAGCCTTCACCAGCGCTGCCACATATGTCTTGAAGACGGGATTCTGCTGACTTTCATGCCACCCAGCCCCCGCTGGGTTCATCCACGTTTCCACGCGCTGTTCTTCCGTCTTCAGGGAAGTACAGGGGCGAATAGCAGACGGCATCCTCTGCAAGGTATGTGCCGATGCTTTCAAATTCTCAACACTCCTCCAACTGATTCTAGAATCTACATCATATTTCTTGAAAAGTGGAGTGAGATATTCTGGGTGAAGAATCCACTCAAGACTGCAGAAATTACGCAATGTTTTTGGACGGGTTCTGTAGTCCAATTCTCAATCCAACCTATCGTCACAGAAGAGAAGTGATCTTTGGGCTTATACAAAGGCACTCACCAGGATATCGTCTCTGTCCAGTTGGTCGATGGGCAGAATTCTATCCAGCTCAGCAACGCCACGATATGCTTCCACCATGCTCAGAGGCACTTGCTCCTTTTCCATGAATTGCACGACCTGAGCCCAAGCCGTCCAGAAAGCATTGTCTTCCTGCCCATCCTTTGCTGTCATATCTTCCTGTAGTTTGAGGACTGAAGGTGCAACTAGAGAACGTCTTGTCCAAAAGCAGGTGGCTCGGAATAGATGGCGAACTTCCTCCAGCCTCCCCTCTTCCTTCAGCCTCACCAGAATTTTTGCCACATCGTCAGCTTTTTCTTCGCTGCTACAGTAGCCATGACGCACCCAGTGCTTCTTCAACCGTCGACTTGGAAGCGCCATGGCTGCAAAATTCTCCTAGCGTCTGAGAAATGGCGCTCTTTTTGCCAAGCTGGCACGTCCTCAAACTAACAAACGCCAGGCGCCCTCTTTCTGAGCAAGATGACCTACAACAGCGGGCGAGGCATTTTGAACAAACTCGCCTCGTTCAACTTTTCTGCAGTTAGTGCAATAGTACAGCCGCCGCGCGGTGGGGTACCGTTTAGCGCGCTAATTCAAAAGCCTCATGAGCGACAGGCGGCCGCGGCTTGCCTGGAGGTACGCGATCTCAGCCGTTGCTACCTCTAGGCAAGCATTCCACTGCCTAGCTAGTAGCTGGCAGTGGTAAAACTTTGTTCAAGGAAACAGCAGCGCCGCGGCGACCGCCATGGCGGGTAATTCGCCTTTCGACAGGCTGAGCGGGGAGATTGTCTGGAAGATTCTGAGCAAGCTGCAATATGACGTCGGAAAGTACGTCGGTGTATGCAGGGACTGGCGGCAGTGAGTTGACTGCGAGCATAACTACCTTCTATGCACCTTTTCAATCCTGATGCCTTTGATCTATCATCAATTGGCAGTCGCGAATCTTATCGATAGCAGCATTGAAGTGAAAGCCCGCCTCCCGAAATGCTCCATTCTTCTGACTCTCCTCTCCCTCCCTGAACAAAGACACGGCCTCCCGATCTTTCCGCATTACATTTTTCCAGAAAAGCATATTATTCAGGTGCCGTGCAATTTCTTTCTCTTCTGATTTCAGTCTAACAATTCGAGGAAACTCGTCTGCAGATTGCACCTCAGTGCTTCTCTTGGAACCCCGGACTGCCATCGCGCTCTGCCAATTGGCACTTCTTTCTCCTTACCCTTCCCTTTGACCATCGTACGCCATGAGGCCACCTAAAATTGCCCTCTTGCCGTGTGTCCCCGAATGTCCTCCTGACGGGGACTCGGAAGACGTCAATTTACGCCCGAAGTTCCAGAAACCCCGCGTTCAAAA